TCATAGGCTGTGTGTTAATGAGGAGAAGGCAGGATATGGTCTACCAGTCAAACAAGCTCGGACTGTAACATTATTTTAGCATAATGACATGAGCTTGGTTGTCAGCCATTTAACTTAAGAGTTTACCCTGTTCCTTGAATGTTCAATCTATTGCCCTAAAAGTGGGTTCAATTATATGTCGAAGCCCTAACCCACATGCTAGAATTCTAGTGACTCTATTTGGAGATAGAACCTTTTAGGATGTAATAGGAGTGTTAGGGTGGGCTGTAATTCGTTATGACTGGTGAATTTATAAGAAGGTACATATCAGGGGTGCACTGGCACAGAGGAAAGGCCACGTGAAGCAGGAAGGCAGCCATCTGCAAGCCAAGGAGAGAAATCTCAGAAGGAACCAACCCTACCCACATCTTGATCTTGGACTTTCAGCCTGCAGAACTGTGAGAAAATACATTTCTGTTGTTTAAGCCATGCAGTCTGTGGTATTTTGTTACGGCAGCCCTGGCAAACTACAGTAGTTCCCCCTTATCCTTGAGGGATATGTTCTAAGATCCCTGGTAGATGCCTGAAACTGCTGATACTACTGAACCCTATGTATACTATATATTTTTTCCTGTACATACATACTTACGATGAAGTTTAATTTATAAATGATGTCCAGTAAGAGATTAACAACAAGGAATAAAAAAAAGATAATTATAACAAATGCTGGCATCACTATCCTTATGCTTTGCCATTTTTCAGTAGAATAAGAGTTTCTTGTGTTCAACAAGCCAGGTTTTATCAGGCTACTCAGAACGTTGCTCTTTTTCTTATGCTCATCTAATCCATCATGAAATTCTGTGGCTCAGCTTTCAAAATATATCCAGGATTTGACCACTTACCACCACCCTCATTGCCACTATACAGTCCAATCCATGGTGGCTGGTCAAATCTACCATCATAGTGAAATCTGCCATCATAGTCAATTTTACCATCATAGTTCACCTGGGTTATGTGCAGTAGCCTCTGACAGGGCTCTCTGATTTCACCCTTGCTTCATTCCACCCCCAATCTTTCCTCAACACAGTCGCCAGAGCGATTCTTATAAAACTAGATCAGATTGCTTCTCTCCGAAGTTCAACACTCTCCAGTGAATTTCCATTTGTCTTAAAGTAAAATCCAACGTCCTGGCCAGGATGGTAGCCCATGCCTGTAATCCCAGCACGCTGGGAGGTCGAGGTGGGCAGATCACCAGAGGTCAGGAGTTCAAGACCAGCCTGGGCAACATGGCGAAATGCTGTCTCTATTAAAAAATACAAAAATTAGCCGGGTGTGGTGGTGGGCACCTGCAATCCCAGCTATTTGGGTGGCCGAGGCAGAATTGCTTGTAAGTGGGAGGCGGTTCCAGTGAGCGGAGATCGCACCACTGCACTCCAGCCTTGGTGACGCAGTAAGACTCCATCTTGGGAAAAAAAAAAAAAATCTGAAGTCCTTCTAATTAATTACAAGGTCCTCCATGATCTGGCCCACCATTATTTCTCTGGGTTTCTCCTAGCACTCTCTCCCTAGCTCACTACACTATAGCTAAAGCAGCCGCCTTGCTGTTCCTAGGACACACTGTGCATGTTTTTTCACTTATGGGGCCTTGTACTGGCTGTCCCCTCTACCTGGAACATTGCTTTCCAGACATGCCGTTGGTGGGCTACCTCACTCCTTTCAAGTTTACCTTCTCAGTGGACTTCATTATGACTCTTCTATTTACCTTAGTTAACTCCACTCACATCCTTCTCTCAATTCCCTAACTCCCTTACCTGCTCCATTTTTAGTTCTGTAGCAATTACCAATGATCACCTTTTAAAATACTGCATGATTATGATTAAGCTTAATATTTCTTGTCTGTCTCCTCTACTAGAGGTTCCATGAGGGTAAATGCTTGTCTGTTTTGTTCATCTGTGTTTCACAAGTGCCTAAAACAGTACCTGGCACACAGTAGACATTCAATAGATATTGGCTAAATGAAGGAATAAATGAATAATAGAGCAAGAATTAATTGTCATATGCCAGGTCTTATTCTAAGTATGTTTTATATCTTGTTTCATTTAAACCTCAGCACAGTCTGTGAGGTAGGTGTTAATCGTTCTAAATACAAAGATAAAGAAAATAGGCTTAGAGAGTTTAAAGGTATAACTGAGATTTGAACCCAGGCAGTCTAATCCCAAAGCTCTCAGTTCTTAAATTCAACTACCCTATGAAGTTAGGTTAGCAGGTAAGTAGTTATAATTGTTCTTATTTTCTAGATGACAAAACTGAGACTTAGAGATTTTAAGTCACTTTCTCAAGGTCTCATACCTAGTGAATGGGAAACCATAGGTTGTTCTGATGCCCTAAGTTCATGGGTCTGTTATAACCTGGCTTGGTGCCTCTCCTTACGCTTTTCAGGGACTCCTTCCCTTCAGTGCTCACTATTTTTCTTTTTCTTCTTCTTCTTGTTTTTTTTTTTTTTTTTGAAACCCATGTTGGAGGGACGGGGAACTCTTTAGGACAAGACTCTTCCAAGTGTTCTATTTTTTTTTTTTTTTTTAAAGAGAGAAAGAAACAAAAAAAAAGGAATGAAGGAGAGGAAGAAAGAGGAAGAGAAAGAGGGAGAGAGAACGGTAGTGTTGCTTTATTCTAAAAATGCGTATTGAAAACCTCTTTTATGCCAGTAATTGTGCTTAATAATGGCCGACCAATATTTCATTTAAACCTGTGAGTAGGTGTAATGGGGTACTGATAATGTTTATTAAGTTTACTTGTTCCAGATCTGAGTTCAAGCCCTGGATATCCTTATTAATTTTCTGTCTCATTGATCTATCTGATATTGATGTTGAAGTCTCCCATTATTATTGTGTGGGAGTCTAAGTCTCTTTATAGGTCTTATGTATCTGGGTGTCCCTGTATTGGGTGCATATATATTTAGGATCGTTAGCTCTTCTTGTTGCATTGATCCTTTTACCATTACATCTTTGTTGCTTTAAAATCTATTTTATCAGAGGCGAGAATTGCAACTCCTGCTATTTATTTATTTATTTATTTATGCTCTCCATTTAGTTGGTAAACCTTTCTCCTTCCCTTTGTTTTGAGTCTTTGTGTATCCTTGCATGTGAGATGGGTCTGGATACAGCATACCAATGGGTTTTGGCTGTGTTTTTTGATTGTGGGATTTAGTTGATTTAACTTTAGGGTTACTGCCATTTGATGTTAGCTGGCTGTTTTGCCCATTAGTTGATGTAAATTCTTCATTATGTTAATGCTCTTTACTTTTTGGTATATTTTTGGAAAGGCTAATACTGATTGTTCCTTTCTATGTGTAATGCTTCTTTCAGAAGCTCTTGTAAAGCAGGCCTAGTGGTAATGAAATCACTGAGTACTTGCTTGTTCATAAAAGATTTTATTTTTCCTTCAGTTGTGAAGCTTAGTTTGGCTGGATATGAAATTCTGGGTTGAGAGTCCTTTTCTTTGAGGATATTGAATATTGACCCCCACTCTCTTCTGGCTTGTAGGGTTTCTGCTGAGAGATCTGCTATGAGTCTGATAGACTTCCCTTTATGGGTAACCTGACCTTTCTTTCTAGCTGCCCCTGGTATTTTCTCCTTCATTTCAACCCTGGTGAATCTAACGATTATGTGCCTTGGGGTTGCTCTTCTTGAGAAATATCTTTGTGGTGTTCTCTGTATTACCTGGAGTTGAATATTGTCCTGCCTTGCTAGTTGGGAAAGTTTTCCTGAAAAATATCCTGAAGAGTATTTTCCAGCTTGGATTCATTCTCTTTGTTGCATTCGGTACACCTATCAAATGCAGATTAGGTCTTTTCACATAGTCCCATATTTCTTGGAGACTTTGCTCATTCCTTTTTATCCTTTCTTCTCTATTCTTATCTTCTCGTTTTATTTCATTAAGTTGGTCTTCAACCTCTGATAGCCTTTTTTCTGCTTGATCAATTTGGCTGTTAAAATTTGTACATACTTCACGAAGTTCCCATGTTGTGTTTTTCAACTCCGTTAATATTTTTCTGTCTTCTCTTCCACATCTAAGGCATTCCACAGTGTTCTTTACCCACAAAATTCCCTATAGTAGTCTACCACAACACAGTTCTCTTTGGTTGTACCTCTTCTTAGATCTGTTACTGCTCTCCCCAACAAAAGGAAGAAAAACTACCAAAACCTTCTCTCAAGAAAAATACACATATAAACAACATCTAGATTACAATAGACTCTAGCTAAAATTGTTTAATTCTTGACCTCAATCCTCTTGGAATAAAAAGATACCTTTCTTTCATCCCATTTTCTGGGGTTTCACTAAATAGTTATTATTAAATGTGTCAATTAAGGCTTGTAGATTCATTTTTTTCATTTGTGCATTCATTCATTCCATAGGCATTTTTGAGCACATATCATGTATAAGGCAGAATATGAAATTTTGTGGGGAATCAAAAATGACCTTTATGGTACCATGCCCTGAAGACATTTCTAATCAGAGCCAATGAGAAAACTCAGTGTGGCTATTTTTGTTTGAGTTTTCACTTTCCACTAGATTCAATGTTCAAAGGCCATGAGACTGCAGTTGCTACAGCCACTGTGTTGCCATGACAGGAGATCATGTCTAGATTGGAGCCAACCCAGAAAAACCAGTTGGGAGAGAGGGAGGAGAGGAGGGAGGGGGGAGAGAGGGGGGGAGGGAGGGGGGGGAGAGAGAGAGAGAGAGAAAGAGAAAGAGAGAGAGAGAAACTGGCTCCTGAGGACACAGTTTTAACCCCTGCATCAAGCTGTGCCTGAAGCTATGCCCACACTAGTCTCTTTCTGTAACAAAGTCCAAAAAAATATTTCCTTTTCACTTAAGTCAGTTTGAGTTGTATTTTCTGTTATAAGCTTTCAGAATAGTCCTAATACATACAGGCCTTTCTAGTTATATTTTTAACATCCTGATATCTTTCCAGAGATAGTTCCACACATTTTTAGAGCCACCTTAGCAACCTTCACTCAATGCTGAAACTGAGTACCTGGTCTGACTTTGGGCCAAAGCTAAATCTCTTTAACAGCATCCTTTACTGAAGCAACATTGTCACAGAATCTGCTGAAGCAGCAAGAAAAAAGAGGTCAGCAGTATGACCAAGCTGCATAATTTCTTAGGCAGGCAGGAGTGCATCACTACTGAGGGCAAATGGACACTCACTAGCAAGGTGGCTGAAAAGAACTGTTCTTGAAAGAACCCAAGTGAAAACTTCCAGGAGGAAACCAAACAGAAAATTTATGTGGATTGTACTCCGTAGTGAAAGTACTAAAGGAATGGGGTGGTCTCAGAGGGTTAGCCGGTGAGTACATTGCCAGAATGAAAGATGCAGAGGCTCCTTAAAGAATCAGTATTTAGACATCTGTCATATCCAAGGACATATAATAGCTAAGAGATCATTTTAAATAGCAACAAATATTTTAAAAGTTCCTTTCTTTTCTTCCTCCTCCACCTTCCCTGATTAAAAAATCATGGGGGGGGAGGACTCAAGATGGCGCTGTGAGAACAACCCAGGATTGAAGCTCTCTCTCTGGATGCACAGAGAGGGTGAGTTGGGGACGCATTTCCAGACAGATCTTAGTTGCCCACAGAACGGGGAAATTCCCAGGTATAAAAGAGACATGGGACGCCAGGCAGAGGTCTTGGCTGGTGTAGCCGGCAGCCGGTGTGGCTCTGGCCCACGCTGGAGCGCAGAGGCACTCCACAGTGCTCCATACAAAAGCGCACTGTTATGGGTGCCCTGTTGAACCGGCAAACTGAGACCTGGGAGGGCTAAACTTGAGACTGAACGGGACTTGGGCAGTGTGCCAGCCCAGGAAATCCCAGGGACAAAGCGTTTGGGCTAGCGCAGTGCGACAAACAGAACAGCGATTCCAAAACCTCCCGGTGAGGAGGTTTTCGTAAAGCACAGCTCTGCGGGGGAGGGGCGTCTGCCATTACCGAGGCAATCAGCCCCCACTGAGGTACACGCCCATTGCTGATGTAGCCTGCCATTGCCGAAGCAACCTGGTACAACAGAGAGACTCCGCTACAGGGCGTAGCCCATGGCAACAGGGCGGAGACTGCAGCAGAAGGGCAGCGCCTGCAGCAACAGGGTGAACCTCACACTAGCAGGGCGGAGCCTCGGCAGGCAAATAGTGATTTGACTGCCTCCTAGCTGGGCAGGACAGCGAGGCGGACACTCACAAGGAAAGCCTCAACCCTTCCCCCCTGCCAGACAGAGCATCTGAGAAAAAAAGGGTTTTTTTTTCAGCCTATTAGCCCTGAATGAACAACAGAGCTCACAGCTCAGCAACTGAGCTCCTACAAAGTACAGACTGTCTCCTCAAGCAGCTCCCTGACCCCTCTATATCCAAAAGACTGACATTTGGCAGGCATCATCCTGGGACAAAGATAGCAGAAAAAGAAACGGGTAGCATCCCTCACTTTTCCGCAGCTGCTATAGGTGCACCCCAGACAAGCAGGGCCTGGAGTGGACCTCAGCAGTCATACAACGAAGGGGCTAGACTGGTAGAAGGAAAACCAAGTAACAGAAATACTTCATCAACAATCTGGGTGTCCACTCAGAAACCCAATTGAAAAGTCAGCAACTACGCAGACGACAAGTGGATAAATCCACAAAGATGGGAAGAAACCAGTGCAAAAAGGAGGAAAACACCCGAAACCAGAACACATCGCCTCCTAGAAAGGACCAAAACTCCTCACCAGCAAGGGAACAAAGCTGGATGGAGAATGACTGTGACGAAATGACGGAATTAGACTTTAGAAGGTGGATAACGAGAAACTTTTGTGAGCTAAAAGAACATGTATTAAATCAATGCAAAGAAACTGAGAACCTTGAAAAAAGATATGAAAAATGATTTGAGGAAATGATAACAAGAATGGATAACTTAGAGAAGAATATGAATGAATTAAAGGAGCTGAAAAACACAATACGAGAACTTTGCGAAGCATGCACAAGTTTCAATAGCCGAATTGACCAAGCAGAAGAAAGAATATCTGAAGTTGAAGATCAACTCAATGAAATAAAACGAGAAACCAAGATCAGAGAAAAAAGCACAAAAAGGAATGAACAAAGTCTCCAAGAAATGTGGGACTATGTGAAGAGACCTAACCTACATTTGATAGGTGTACCAGAAGGGGACGAAGAGAATGAATCCAAGCTGGAAAATACTCTTCAGGACATCATCCAGGAAAATTTCCCCCATCTAGCAAGACAGGCCAACACTCAAATGCAGGAAATATAGAGAACACCACAAAGATATTCCGCAAGAAGAGCAACCCCAAGGCACATAATCGTCAGATTCAACAAGGTGGAAATAAAGGAGAAAATACTAAGGGCAGCCAGAGAGAAAGCTCGGGTCACCCACAAAGGGAAGCCCATCAGACTCACAGCAGATCTCTCGGCAGAAACACTACAAGCCAGAAGAGAGTGGGGGCCAATATTCAACATTCTTAAAGAAAAGAACTTTCAACCCAGAATTTCATATCCAGCCAAACTGAGCTTCAGAAGTGAAGGAAAAATAAAATCCTTTGCGAACAAGCAAGTACTCAGAGATTTTGTCACCATGAGGCCTGCTTTACAAGAGCTCCTGAAAGAGGCGCTACACATAGAAAGGAACAACCAGCACCAGCCATTCCAAAATCACACTAAATGCTAAAGAGCATCAACATAATGAAGAATCTACAACAACTAAAGGGCAAAACAGCCAGCTAGCATCAAAATGGCAGTATCAAATTCACACATAACAATATTAACCCTAAATGTAAATGGACTAAATGCACCAATCAAAAGACACAGACTGGAAAATAGGATAAAAATCCAAAACCCATCAGTGTGCTGTATCCAGGAAACCCATCTCACATGCAAGGATACACAAAGGCTCAAAATAAAGGGATGGAGGAAGATTTACCAAGCAAATGGAGAGCAAAAAAAAAAAGCAGGAGTTGCAATTCTCATCTCTGATAAAATAGACTTTAAAGCAACAAAGATCAAAAGAGACAAAGAAGGCCATTATATAATGCTAAAAGGATCAATACAACAAGAAGAGCTAACGATCCTAAACATATATGGGCCCAATGCAGGAGCACCCAGATACATAAGGCAAGTTCTTAATGACTTACAAAGAGACTTAGACTCCCACACAATAATAGTGGGAGACTTTAACACTCCACTGTCAATATTAGACAGATCAACCAGACAGAAAATCAACAAGGATATCCAGGGCTTGAACTCAGACCTGGAGCAAGCAAACCTGATAAACATTTACAGAACTCTCCACCCCAAATCCACAGAATATACATTCTTCTCAGCACCACATCACACCTACTCTAAAATTGACCACATAATTGGAAGTAAAGCACTGCTCAGCAAATGCAAAACAATTGAAATCATAACAAACAGCCTCTCAGACCACAGTGCAATCAAGTTAGAACTCAAAATTCAGAAACAGACCCAGAACCGCACAGCTTCATGGAAACTGAACAACTGGCTCTTGAACGTTGACTGGGTAGACAATGAAATAAAGGCAGAAATAAAGAAGTTCTTTGAAACCAATGAGAACGAAGACACAACATGCCAGAATCTCTGGGACACATTTAAAGCAGTCTCTAGAGGAAAGTATATAGCAATAAGTGCCCATATGAGGAGAATGGAGAGATCTAAAATTGACACCCTAGTGTCAAAATTGAAAGAGCTAGAGGAGCAAGATCAAAAAAACTCAAAACCCAGCAGAAGATAAGAAATAACTAAGATCAGAGCTGAACTGAAGGAGATTGAGACACGAAAAAGCCTTCAAAAAATCAATAAATCCAAGAGCTGGTTTTTTGAAAAGATCAACAAAATAGATGGACCACTAGCCAGATTGATTAAAAATAAAAGAGAGAACAACCAAATAGATGCAATAAAAAATGATAAAGGGGAAATCACCACAGATTCCACAGAAAATCAAACCATCATCAGAGAATATTACAGACAACTCTATTCACATAAACTAGTAAACCTGGAAGAAGGATAAATTCCTGGACTCCTGTGTCCTCCCAAGCCTAAACCAGGAGGAAGCTGAAACTATGAATAGACCAATAACAAGGTCAGAAGTCGAGGCAGCAATTAAGAGCCTACCACACAAAAAAAGCCCAGGTCCAGACGGGTTCACAGCCGAATTCTACCAGACACACAAAGAGGAGCTGGTACCATTCCTTCTAAAACTATTCCAAATAATCCAAAAAGAGGGAATCCTTCCCAAATCATTTTTGTGAGACCAACATCATCCTGATACCAAAACCCGGCAGAGACCCAACAAGAAAAGAAAACTTCAGGCCAATATCCATGATGAACATAGATGCAAAAATCTTCAATAAAATATTGGTGAGCCGATTGCAACAGCAAATCCAAAAACTTATTCATCATGATCAAGTAGGATTCATCCCGGGGATGTAAGGCTGGTTCAACATACGCAAGTCTATCAACGTAATTCACCACATAAACAGAACCAAAAACAAAAACCACATGATTATCTCAATTCATGCAGAGAAGGCATTTGACAAAATTCAACAGCCCTTTATGCTAAAAACCCTCAATAAACTCGGTATCGATGGAACGTATCTCAAAGTAATAAAAGCTATTTATGACAAACCAACAGCCAATATCATACTGAATGGGCAAAAACTGGAAGTATTCCCTTTGAAATCCGGCACTAGACAAGGATGCCCTCTCTCACTACTCCTATTCAATATAGTACCAGAAGTTCTAGCCAGAGCAATCAGGCAAGAAAAAGAAATAAAGGGTATGCAAATAGGAAAGGTGGAAGCCAAATTGTCTCTATTTGCAGATGACATGATAGTATACCTAGAAGACCCCATCGCCTCAGCCCAAAAACTCCTGAAACTGATAAGCAACTTCAGCAAAGTGTCAGGATATAAAATCAATGTGCAAAAATCACAAGCATTCGTCTACACCAATAACAGACTTAAAGAAAGCCAAATCAAGAACGAACTGCCATTCACAATTGCTACAAAAAGAATAAAATACCTTGGAATACAACTCACAAGGAACGTAAGGGACCTCTTCAAGGAGAACTACAAACCACTGCTCAACGAAATCAGAGAGGACACAAACAGATGGAGAAACATTCCATGTTCATGGTTAGGAAGAATTAATATAGTGAAAATGGCTATACTGCCCAAAGTAATTTACAGAATCAACGCTATCCCCATCAAGCTACCACTGACTTTCTTCACAGAACTGGAAAAAACCACCATGAACTTCATATGGAACCAAAAGAGAGCCCGCATAGCCAAGTCAATTCTAAGCAAAAAGAACACAGCGGGGGGCATCACACTACCGGATTTCAAAGTATACTGCAAGGCTACAGTAATCAAAACAGCATGGTATTGGTACCAAAACAGAGATGTAGACCAATGGAACAAAACAGAGGCACCAGAGGCAACACAACATATCTACAACTATACAATCTTTGATAAACCTGACAAAAACAAGCAAGGGGGAAAGGATTCCCTGTTTAACAAATGGTGTTGGGAAAACTGGCTAGCCATGTGCAGAAAGCAGAAACTGGACCCCTTCCTGACACCTTACACTAAAATTAACTCCAGATGGATTAAAGACTTAAACATAAGACCTGGCACCATAAAAACCCTAGAAGGAAATCTAGGCAAAACTATCCAGCACATAGGAGTAGGCAAGGACTTCATGAACAAAACACCAAAAGCATTGGCAACAAAAGCCAAAATAGACAAATGGGACCTAATGAAACTCCACAGCTTCTGCACGGCAAAAGAAACAGTCACTAGAATGAATCGGCAACCAACAGAATGGGAACAAATTTTTGCAGTTTACCCATCTGACAAAGGGCTGATATCCAGAATTTACAAAGAACTCAAACAGATTTACAGGAAAAAAACAAACAAGCCCATTCAAAAGTGGACAAAGGATATGAACAGACACTTTAAAAAAGAAGACATATATGAGGCCAACAGTCATATGAAAAAATGCTCATCGTCACTGGTCATCAGAGAGATGCAAATTAAAACCACATTGAGATACCATCTCACGCCAGTTAGAATGGCGATCATTAAAAAATCTGGAGACAACATATGCTGGAGAGGATGTGGAGAAAAAGGAACACTTTTACATTGTTGGTGGGAGTGTAAATTAGTTCAACCATTGTGGAAGACAGTGTGGCGATTCCTCAAGGCCTTAGAAATAGAAATTCCATTTGACTCAGCAATCCAATTACTGGGTATATATCCAAAGGACTATAAATCATTCTACTATAAGGACACATGTACACGAATGTTCATTGCAGCACTGTTTACAATAGCAAAGACCTGGAATCAACCCAAATGCCCATTGATAATAGACCGGATTGGAAAAATGTGGCAGATATACACCATGGAATATTATGCAGCAATCAGAAATGATGAGTTTGTGTCGTTTGTAGGGACATGGATGAATCTGGAGAACATCATCCTCAGCAAACTGACACAAGAACAGAAAATGAAACACCGCATATTCTCACTCATAGGCAGGTGAGGAAACATGAGAACACATGGACACAGGGAGGGGAGTACTAAACACTGGGGTCTATTGGGGGAAAAAGGGGAGGACCAGTGGGAGGGGGAGGTGGGGAGGGATAGCCTGGGGAGAAACGCGAATTGTGGGTGAAGGGGAGAAAGGAAGCAAAACACACTGCCATGTGTGTACCTACGCAAATGTCTTGCATGTTCTGCTCATGTACCCCAAAACCTAAAATGCAATAAAAAATTAAAAAAATAAATAAATAATAAAAAATCATGAAGATGAGGGGCAGGAGAAGAAATGAAACAAAGAAAATGAAAGAATAGATGGTTTCCTCCTCTATCCTTCCGAAGCTGAGGGAAAGAGAGAGGATTCAATTGAATGAGAAATGGAAGTTTTGATCTGAACTGGACTTTTGACATACCTGAATGTGTAATTTTTCTAGTATTGCAATAGGACTGAGAATTTAAGGGATTTGCTAAGGCATGGGGAAAAGAGGATCTTTAAGGTATGTTTGAAGAGTGATAGAAAAAATAAAGCTGTTTATAATTGCATTCTACCTTGTTTATCCAATTAAACAAACAGGTTTACTTGAGTTAGACCAAGCTCGTCCAAACTGCATTTGCAGGCTGCATGTGGCCAAGGACAGTTTTGAATGTTGCATAGCACAAATCTGAACTTTCTTAAAACATTATGAAATTTTTTTTTTGCATTTAATTTTTATTTATTTATTTATTTTTAGCTCATCAGCTATTGTTAGTGTTAGTGTATTTTATGTGTGGCCCAAGACAATTCTTCTTCCAATGTGGCCCGGGAAGCCAAAAGATTGGACACCCCGAGTTAGACCAAAAAAAACAGCACGATGCAAACTACTCTCATATTTAATGTCACAATGGTTTATCTAGAAGGATTCCTGAGGAAATATTTCTAGGAGCTTAGTATCAGGGGTAGTTCTCCTTCTCTGGACCAAGTGCCCTGCTTTTATTCAGTAGGTATACCAAATGAAACAGGGGTGTCAGTGAGAAAGATTCTATGGAATGTATTTTTTGTTTTGTTTTGTTTTGAGACAGAGACTTGCTCTGTTGCCCAAGCTGGAGTGCAATGGCATGAACATGGCTCACTGTAGCCTTGACTTCCCAGGCTCGAGCAATCCTCCTGCCTCAGCCTTCTGAGTAGCTGTGACCACAGGTGCATGCCACCACAACTGGCTAAAATTTAAAAAAAATTTTGTCCAGATAGGGTCTCACTATGTTTTCTAGGCTGGTCTTGAACTCCTAGGCTCAAGTAGTCCTCTCACCTCGGCCTTCCAAAGTGCTGGGATTATAGGAGTGAGCCACCACGCATGGCCTATAAGACACATTTTGTCACTGACAATGTTTACAATTGCTGATACATGTTGGTAATATGAAGCAGATCAACTTTTACTCTGTTTTATCGAAGTTTCCATGTTTTCTACAGAAAATGCACCCCATCATTGCCTATACCCCACCCAAGTGGACTGCTCATTCTGTTTTTTCCTAAGGATGCTATGAATCATGTTTCACAGATAAGTTTTAGCAACTGAAAGTTTGGAGTCAAATCTGTATGCCTCTTTGTCTCCTAATACATTTTGTATATTAGGCCTTGGCCCTGGCTCCAATTTAGATTACCACTTTTTCTCCCCAATTTGTCCCTCTCTTTGACCTTTAAACTTACTTCTAATTAAATTTTTGTGTGCGTATCTTAGTAAGCCCTGTTAGATCCTTGTTGCAGCAATGAACATAAGCAATGTAATAAACAGAAAGAATGACATTCAGTGCACATATTGAATCATCCTGTGTGTGTAGAATCCCAAGTGCATTTCATTTCAGACACAAGACATATTTCGCACATTTCAAAATGCAGTAAATGATTCATAGAATGCTATTTTAGAAGCTTTCCTTAGGAAACTGTACCACGTGGCATAACTCACCTACCCCAGTAGTGTGATCTCCCTTTGGTCCTGTGTAGGAAGTGGGAGTTTCTCCTCTCCTCCTGTGCCAGCTGCTCCGGTTTCTTTTCTCTTGAGTAAATGCACATTCATCTTGCTCGAAAGTACACTCTCCAGGTGGAGGTAGAAGTTTCTCTGCAAGGAAATGGTAGGTGTTGCAATTGCTGTGACACTCTCAATGACTCTGTTGCTAGCAGCCCACTATGCATGTATGAATGCTGTCTTCACATATGGCATATGATGGCAGCCCACATATGGCATGTGATGGAGAGGCAAACCCCACTGGTGGCCCACCTACACAAAGCCATTGCTTCCAGCTGGAGGCTGCACTCCACTGTGGGTCCTGCCACAGACACAGAGAATAATCAGAGATATAGATCTAAAATAATAGAATACTTTGAGAAAAAACTTTCTCTGACTTGTGAATTTGTGTGAATTTCTTTTTCTATCACTCCAGAATTTAGAGGTATATTGCCTTTATGAAAATATGGAAAATAATAAATTATATAATGCAGGCGCTTTCTTCAGAAATCCTAGATGAGTGAAGGGTATCCTCATAACAACTCCACAGGTGAAGGATACACCGTAACAACTTTGGAGGTGGAGGAGAATGTGAGAGTGCTTAAATGGACTTCTGGAGGCATAGCTACGTGGAACAAATGACTTCATTTCTCTGTGCCTTACAGTTCTTATCTGTAATGTGGGAATATTAATGGTAGTCACTTCATGGGTCTGTGAGGATTAAATGAGATGGTATACATAAAGTGATAATTTTGAATATAAAGTTCTCAATAATTAAATTTTAGAACTTATTTTGCCATCCAGAGCTTTATTTTCCATTTCCCAAATCCAATGTCTCTGTCTTTGAATCCTGTCTTCAATAACATTCATAATTATTATTAGAGTGGTGCTTCTTCCCAATTTATTGGGGACTTCTCCTTTGACTAAACTTGGTTATACCTCCCTACATCCAGATTCTTAGCAAATTTTTCTAATAAACAGCTTGTTTCATATGCCTCTTGTGTGATCGTTGTTTTTATTTCACATACAGTACTAGTTAATGAAGGCTCATTCTTTTTTCTATGCCTTGAGTGGAATGATTTTTATCTGGGTTGTCCTTGCAGTGCCTGGCAAATCAACGGACTAAGAACAAATTGTCTTTTAATTAAATAAACCTGGAGATAATTCTCCAGTGTCAGACTGATACCACAATTTGCCTGTGTGTCAAAGAAAAGGATGTCCTATGATGTAGGATGCAATGGTAATTAGCAGATACAGACCAATGATCTGGATTATGTGCCATTTTCTCATTAGACACAATGTCCAATACATAGCTAGATACCATGACTTTATTTTGCTACTATCATCATTGCTTGGTCTATTGTTCCAGTCATTTAATTCACTTAGAAAATGTTTATTAAAATTTTTAAATTATATGTTTAGCAAGTACCTGTGAAACAAGAATTTCATCAGTATTGCTTGAAAATCTGCATTCATGTAAGAGAACAAAAACAATGATAATAGCAATAATTATAGTAGAAGATACAGGTGTTACAGTGTTTTTAAAGCACTGTTTTGTACCAGGTCTTATGTTAGGAAAATGTGTATGTATTATCCCCAATATTCAGGTAGATATCATCTCCCTTCCAAATGAGGACAAAGGGGTTTAGTCACATGTACAAAAACACGTATTACATTGCAATCATCATCTCTAAATTTCAAAGCCTGCTACACAGCTCTGCAGGAGACAGTCAAGAAAAGCAAAGGATGGACTAGCACAGATGAAATGTGTGTGGTTCTCAGAGATACAGGAAATGTATGTTTAGGCCAGAGAGACAGAGCTGAAATGACTGCCTTCTTACCTGAAGACGAGCAGCTTCCCAACTGTACTGTAATATCATCCAGGGCTACAAGCCCACAGTCCCAGAAGCTTTTGCAGAGGCTCATGAAAACCACCTGCAATTCATAAAAATAAATATAAATTCTGTTAACTGAAAACTGGAAACTCTTAACAACCTGGGATTCACTTAGCACAGCAGGCGAGCATAGGCAAATTACAAGACGCTTTTTTTCATTCGTATGAACGACAGAACACAGTGGCAAGCAGAATGGTTACCATCTGCATAAGACCCTAAAGTTACTTTTATTATTATTAAATTTTGAGACAAAGTCTCGCTCTGTCACCTAGGCTGGAGTGCAGTGGTGTGATCTCGGCTCACTGCAACCTCTGCCTACCGGGTTCAAGCAATTTTCCTGCCTCAGCTTCCTGAGTAGCTGGGAGTACAGGCACCCATGATTACGCCTGGCTAATTTTTGTATTTTTAGTAGATACGGGGTTTTACCATGTTGGCCAGGCTGGTCTCAAACTCCTGACCTCAGGTGATCTACCAGCCTTGACCTCCCAAAATGCTGGGATTATAAGCGTGAACCACTGCATCTGGCATACAATTACTTATACTGTTTTTTTTTTTTTTGAGCAGAATTAACCTCATAATGATATATTATGCATATTAATGCTGAAATCAGTGGCATTTCATGAAGAATTGACAGAAAGAATGAGGAAAGCGAGAAGTTAACTGCATGACAGAGAAAAGCCTGTCAATGGTTTTAAACATTTTCCCCAGATAATCCACAAAGTAGGTAAGACTTGATGGTTTTCTGAGCATTTTTCAAACATTTCTAGTACAAACACTATTGATTTTTTGGAAATGACTTTCTGGCAGTATGCTTCACTCACATTGTGAATAAAGTCCTGATGATTTGCCATCTGGAGACTTATGTTCCATTTCTAAAGACAAAGATCTATGTTTCCAGTTGGTGTCACTAATAAAAGCCCCAAATGCAGTTATTTTATCCGTCCTAACATTTTTATTGTTGTGTGTGAAGAAAAAACAAATCCATACCATAAATTATTAAATCTACTGTGCCAGAGAAAGAGAGAAGTCTTGGATTTCTTTCCATTAGGCATATTTTAAAGGTTGCTTTTCATATACAGGATGAGCTAAGAGACCTTTTAAAAACATTTGTATTAGATTTTCACTGCACTTGCAGTTTACAAAGCTACTTTGCATATATCACAATGTTTAAGTAGCACAAGCTCATTTAGTCCATGTTCGTTCAATCCCTCAGTTACAAATCTAATTCAAACAGACAAAGGATGATATAACAGAAGTTAAAACCCAGCTTTGAATAATAAGAACACTTGATTTTTTTAGGTTCCAGTTTAAAATGTTATGTCTTAAATTTATTGTGTTATCAGTAGAGTTCTTTTGTTTTTTGATGATCAGATTTGTTAGAATATAGAATTTATTTAAAAAGAAATGTAAAGATCATGTGAAAGCTTACTAGTATGCAAAATATAAAATGTCTTAAGCCAAGACCTTCTAGACATTACTAACTGTAACATGTGTTATGGTTTACTTGCACTGTATTTATATTGCTTTCAATATAAAAAGGATAGTTTAGACTTGTCACAATGTATAACTGTAGATATATACAAAGAATAAAACAAAACAGGGTGGATTGTTTTTTGTGTTTATTTTTTCTGGTTTACTTCTGTTCATTGTCTCATGTTTCTAGATTCTAGAGATGCTCTGAACATGTAAAATATTTTACTTACAGAGTTTACCACTGGGAACTTATTCCGTTTGTAAAGCAAAGGTCTGTGTCATCAGCCCTCAATGCAGTTATATTTTAGCAGCAATATTTACTGTTAGATGGGAAGGAATATTAATCCATCTCATAATTTATTGAATTAATTGTGCTGTAGACAGAAAAGTCTTGGCTTTATTTTGGGGAGGGGTGGCTTTAAAGCATATTTTTCACAAGTATAATAAAAAAAGTACTTTTTCAAAATGAATACGTGGTAGTAAAATGGTTCACCATCTAAGTCATTACCTGCATAAAACTCAAACATTTGGAATGGTAATGGATTCTAAAGAGGGGAAATATTAACATGCTTTCTTATGTTTACTATACCATTATTTTATAGTGACCATAAAATCATACAAGCAAGCAAACACTCAAAATTCCAAAAATAGAGGGAATAAATGAACCATGGCACAATTACCTAAGAAATTGGCCATTGTCAGATCTGATAACTTGGTCATATTACTTAGAAGTATGGAAATATATTTCTCTTATAACGGTAAGTGAAAAAACTAAAGTAAATAAAATAAGACAAAATGATACCTAGTTCATCTAAAAATACATAGAAAAAGCCTGGAAAATTTACCAGATTAAAACAACTATGTTAGACTCATAAAATTATAGGCATTAAACAGAATTTCCCCCTACTTTCTATATTTATACGTGTGTGTATATATGTATATGTATATATATATATATTTATATTATTTTGAGATGGAGATTTGTTCTTGTCACCCAGGCTGGAGTACAATGGTACAATCTGGGCTCACTGCAACCTCTGCCTCCTGGGTTCAAGCAATTCTCCTGTCTCATCCTCCTGAGTAGCTGGGATTACAGGTGTGTGCCACCACACCAGGCTAATTTTTGTATTTTCAGTAAAGATGGGGTTTTGCCATGTTGACCAGGCTGGTCTCAAATACCTGAACTCAGGTGATCCACCTGCCTTGGCCTCCCAAAGTGCTGGGATTACAGGCATTAGCTGAGGGCTTGGACTCTATATTTTGGATAAGAAGAAAAAGGAATCACGATATTTACAATTAAGATGTGGAATAATCAGTTAATCATTATTATTTCCTAGATGGTCTTGTCTATTTTGATAGCCACTAAGTATACGAGTCTATTACAATTAAATTAAATTAAATTAAATTAAAAATTCATGTATTCAGTTACACAAGCCACATTTGAAGATGCCCAATAGCCACATGCAGCTCATGGTTAACTGAACTGGACACAGATATGCAGCATTTCCTCATTTTAGAAAGTTCTATTGGATAGACTTCCCTGGTTCCTTCTGGATGTTCCAAACACTTTGTGAACTGCCACAGTGGGTTGAATGAAATGTTAAAGATGTTTTGGACAATAGCAAGCATCTAGGTTGGTCTACCTCAGTAGTTTTTCCATACTTAGAACACTAGTCAGACCATGTGTTGTTTGGATAAAAGATTCCCAAGGTTAGTCAGCTACTGACTAGGTTCAGTAATGGCCTCAAGCTCGGATTTGCCTGGCAGTTATCTGTTAGCATTCCAACACATACACCATGGAATATTATGCAGCAATCAGATATGATGAGTTCGTGTCGTTTGTAGGGACATGGATGAATCTGGAGAACATCATTCTCAGCAAACTGACACAAGAACAGAAAATGAAACACTGCATATTCTCACTCATAGGCGGGTGATGAAAAATGAGAACACATGGACACAGAAAGGGGAGTACTAAACACTGGGGTCTATTGGGGGGAAAAGGTGAGGGCCAGTGGGAGGGGGAGGTGGGGAGGGATAGCCTGGGGAGAAATGCCAAATGTGGGTGAAGGGGTGAAAGCAAACAGAACACACTGCCATGTGTGTACCTATGCAACTGTATTGCATGCTCTGCACATGTACCCCAAAACCTAAAATCCAATAAAAAAATAAGAAAAAAAAAAAAAGAAACACAACCAGATCAGCCCGTTTGCTCTAACACACTGGATTTTCTGCCTGGTGATTAATAATGCTGATCATGTCAGCACCTATTTTAGGGCCTCCATTTTACATTTTGTATGCTACCTGAGGTGGAGAGGTTAGAGTAGTTGGTGACTGGGCAAGTGGATGAGTGGGCCTGGTTGAGACAGGACAAAGAATAAGTCAAACATGTTGTCCTGTTCTTAAGGCCTCACCCTCTGGGTCCAGTTAAGAACATGACATGAAGGTAATCAGTTATAGTTTAAATTCTTGATGGGATTAACCTCTTATTTATTTATAGATCTGTTTTAACAACAGTGTTTATTTCATTTTAGGCAGTATTTTGAAGAAAGTGTAACATCTCTAAGACTGGAAAAAATCAGCTTAAATGTGTATTAATATCTATTTAAGAGGGTACCAC